GGTGTAACTCCACAAGCAACCTCTGCTAACTATATCTGTCATCTTGGGAGGGACTCATATTAGCTAACAATGAGATTTCCTCTGCATGGGGGAATTAGAATAGATCTATTCTGATTAACTTGAAAAGCCAAACTACCAAAAGGCAAGCTAGTAGAAAAGTAAAACTGGATGACAGTAACATGTCACAAAACAAATCACTCCATATCTGACCTCTCATTCCTTGTCCTCAAAGGAAACCTGCACAACTACTTCAAAAGACAAAGGTGAGAGCTTAAATGCATATGTCTGCTAGATTAAAAGTCATAATTTCAATAAAGATATTGAATTTATGGTGTATTACAATAATCTATAACCCACGAAATCCTCCTTTTTGTCATCTAAATGAAACCATGTTAATGGGCACGTCACCTTAAGTCATCCCTTAGAAAATGAGTTAACTACCTGCACTAAATGATCTGTTCCAGCTTGGATTTAGCTGTGATGCTCTGAGAACATTTCCCAGGCCTAAAGAAGAGCTGTGAGTGACTTGAAAGCTTGTCTCTTTCACCAACAGAAACTCTCATCCTCAATCCCACCCTGGAGCCTACGCTCTAGTCAAATTATGTTGGGTCACAGGCAACAACAATTTCCTTCAACTGGGTCATGAGAGGAAAGGTTTGGAAACCACTGTCTAGCCAATACCGATCAGGACTGACAACATGGCAGTTATTGCTTATATAAACAATTAGAAGATAGATCTGGCATTGCTCAGGTCCTTAACTCAAATAAGTTTTGTTTTTCTTCATTTAAATTATTGTTCTGGGGTGGAGCAGGTACGAGGGGTTCAGTATTAAGGCTGCACCGGGGAGAGAGGACTACTCTAGCCCTCTTTCACCACAGCAACTTACGACCAAGTGAGAAGCATGGCTGCTGCTATGCTGTCCATGGTTTCTGTAGCGGGCACAGCTGGGGGAGGGGTACATGTCCCCTGGCTGGGAGACAGACACACAAACTCTCTGAAATACATACTAGATAACTGCCCCTTTCTCCACCCCTGCCGCCCAACGGTGTTAAAGCTGTCCTCGTCCATCTCTGGCCCCTGGCTGCCCCCTGTGTCATTCTGAAGCATAACTATCCTTCCTGCCAGATCCCTCCCTCTCCATTTTATGAGAAATAATTATTACTAGAATCCTAACCAATTATCTAATGAGCAAATAAACCATAAAGAGAGTGGAGGCATCTCAGGCAATCATTATTTCTACAGATATGCTATCAAAGGAGATTTCTACTTCTATACCTCTCTATGGTAAAAGCCAAATCAGCAGTCAAAGATTGTACAGCAGAATTGAAGAAAAAAGAACTAGAAGCAACAGATGTATATTCCTCATTCCCTGTACTAACAATTGGCCCTATGACTTTACAGCCCTGCTTCTAACTCCTAGTGTTCTTAGTAAATTAAAGAGGTTAAAACAAATCTTGATCTGATCTCACCAGTGTAAACATCCACACTTTCTGCTCAGAATTAGAGACTTTCTATACAAGAGACCCAGATGAATTTAGATTTGAGTTTCCCCAACCTTTATCCCTTTGATTATGAAATCTCTTCTTTATATAGCTAATTGCAGGCAGATGATGGGTAAAAAGCCCTTCAACAGTATTTTCTGAGACACTGTAGCCTAGCAATCAAGAGCATGGGCTCCAAGTGAAAACTGTCTGAACTCTCTAGTCTCTGCTCAGTCACTGATTCTCAGACACTTCGTGTCTGTTTCCCCATTTACAAATAAGAACTAATTATTCCAACCTATCTCCTGTCAGTCAGTGTGTGTGCAGTATTGACAATGCCACAGAATGCTGTTTATTATTATCACTGAAACTACTGAATACATTTTGGTACTTAGCCAGTTGTTCCATAGTATTTTAAGTAAAAATTGTAACTTCCAATCTTGAACGTGTAAAATGTGGCAATCATGTAAAAGAAAACATAAATCAACCATTAGTACTTCCAGGCAGAAAAAATCAATCCATTATGAAAAGACTAAAGCCTCACACAACTTTCAAAATCAAGAAAAAATAAACTAATGAACTTACAACATACAGTAAAAAGGGACAGATATTAGAAGAAATGCAAACATTTCATTTATATTGCACAATCTCTTTAAAACCATTTCTAATTAACTATTTTTAAATTCTTCAGAAGGATACAAAAATGAGAACTTGGCTTTTTGAAATTTAAATTACGAAATAATGCAAAAAGCTGGGTTAAAGTAAAAGTGAGGGAACATTTTTCATCTACTGCAATTTTGTCTACCATTATATTACACATATTATTTTGTTAAAGAAAGAAATTAAGTGTAACATTCCATTTTCATGCAATTAAACATTTTGTTCCAAACATTAATACAGTATCTGGGGCCCTCATACCCAGTTACATGAAGTACAACAGAAAAAAAAAACCCAACCTAAGGCAATGACTGAAACAGGTCAATACAGGTTGAACCTCTCTGGCACTTTGTGTTCTGGCAACATCCGTGGTCTGGTATGATTTTAGTTAGTCGGATGTCTACTTATCATGGATGTGGCCAAGTTTTCTGTGATTCCATAAAGTCTGTTTACTGCCATCAGTCCTGGCTCTTAGTGTTCTGTGCTGTTACTTAGAAGATATTTAGGAATAAATTAGAGCTAAGAGCCCAGTAAGCAGTGGAAGTGTTGGTAATGCTGCTGGATAATATTGACCTCCTGTGGTCCCACAAATTCTCTGGTTCAACATCAGTCTAGAGGGTGCCAGACTAGAGGTTTAACATGTATTTGTTGACAGCCTTCATGGTACTACACTCATTTTGCCAACTATATGTTTTTTAAACGTGCAACATTTACAGTAAAAATTACTAAATGAGAGCATAAATACAATTGTTTGACAGTAGAAATTGTGTAAACATTCAATCCCCTCATAAGGACCTGAAAAATTACTATTTTTTTACAACTGTATCATGATTCACTAACAACCTTCTAGTACCAAAAAGCTGCTAGCAATCTACAACTAAAAGTACAGCAGGTGAAAATTGTAATAGCCAAAGTAGACAAACACTAAATCCCTGCTGACACATTTATACAGATCTCCTTTCAACACTTTAGACATGTACAGTTTGAAATTAAAGGCCAAGAATTTAAAATGTATTTGGGAATGGCCAGGTGGTCACAACTTTGGAAAATCCAGCCACTTAACTAAAATTCTGCTTATATTTAAAAAAAAAAAACATGTTGTAAATTTCCTTTCCCATCAGTTTTGTTTCCTTTTGGCACACAAATGTATCCCTATTTCAAATGAAGATGAATGAATGAGTGTTTTTCTTCTTTCTTCTGTGCATGAGCACATTTGCATTATTGACAATATAACCAAAAGATAATAATAAAAGCAGGAATATATATTAATTAACTCCTCCAGTAGGGGGTGATATTTCATTGCTGAGAAATTACAAAGATTATTTTACCTATATCTCATGCTATTACAAAATATACACCCCTAAACACACACACAACCCCAGGAGTGATATTCTGCAACCGTTAATTTTAAGCAGCTCACATTTTTATACATAAATTCACAGTATCTCATAATTATAATAATAATTATAGTGGATAATAGTTATAGTGTAATAGTTACAGATTGTTTATGATCTTTTTTCACATTCACTATGAACAAAAAAGTTCAAGAATAAATCAAAATAAACAAGTGTATTTTCCTCCTCAGATCCTATATTCTTGCCTTTTAGAGATACTCTGAAATTTAAAGTATGATATTTTCCCTCCCCGTCTCCCAGCCGTTTCTGAAACCTGGAAGAAACTTCAACACCATAGGTACTCTTCATTTTCTAAATAGCAAGAGCTTCAAGTGGTACATGGTTGCAGTAGGAATTCCCAAAATTAACAAATGTCGATGCAAATATTAGGGCAAATTTTCATTCATTACCTAAGCCACAAATTATCACAACTGTTAGCATGCAACTCATGTTTCCCCCTTTTGTCAGCTTAAACAGCTCACCTAAGAGTCAGGCTTAAATTTTTAGTGTAGCTGTTGACCTCAGGTAAAATTCTGGCCCCACAGAAGACAGTGAGTTCTGTCACTGACATCAGCCAAGCCAGATTTTGCTTAATGGACTCAACTATCTGAACCTGCCCTACTTGTAAACTGATGTAGCATTGAAGTAGTTTAAAGTCAACTCTGAAAATAAGCATTTAATTCAGATGTGCATGTAAATACAAGGATGTATTTTGAGCAGCATGCCACAACTTCATTAAACTTAACATTGGAATGGGGTGCTATCTGTACTTTGGGTGTGAATGGGTAACTAATTAACCCGTTACCCAATAAGCATCACCCCACAGGGCCAGCGGCCAGCCAAGCTAGAGCAGCCCCTTGCTTGCGGATCCCGCTTAATCAGTGAACTGGTTAAACTTAACATTTGACCAGTTAACTGACTAAATGGGATTTTACATTCTTAATCTGTACCATCTTCCCATAGCAGGTATTTAAGTGAGTGCCGTGGGGGGCGTACAGGGTAACTGTCATATAACCAATAATTCCCCATTGCCTTGCTCTGCTGAATTTTCTCCTCTTTCCCCCTGCAAAAGGACAGAAGGTACAAAAAGGGGCCCCAGTCTACAAAGAATCCAGGTCTACTGTTCTCCTCTGGGTCCAAAATGCACCAGTGAAATCCCAGGTCTCTTATCTCTGGGTATATATTAAAATGCTCCAGTGCTCACAACAGGATGGCTCTGAAAATGAGTGCTGCTTCTTCACCCATACACTGCTAACAAGGTGCTCACCTGTAAGTACATTTCCAAGCCTTGTCGCCGCTGCTCCAGGACCTTAGGGACCCAGTTCCTCACATGTTTGGAAGGGATTTCCGGCGTTCTAATAAACCTCTTGAGCTGCAAACCAAATCCAAAAAACAAAAACAAAAAACCCACTATTTCTGAAAATGAGTGCTGCTTCTTCACCCATACACTGCTAACAAGGTGCTCACCTGTAAGTACATTTCCAAGCCTTGTCGCCGCTGCTCCAGGACCTTAGGGACCCAGTTCCTCACATGTTTGGAAGGGATTTCCGGCGTTCTAATAAACCTCTTGAGCTGCAAACCAAATCCAAAAAACAAAAACAAAAAACCCACTATT